TTCCATTCAAAATTAACCTGACAGTTTTGTATAAATTTCAAATCGAGTCGACCTCGGAGCTTTAAAACACATAAGTCAACACATGAGCATCATCAGGTACAAAGGGGAGGAGGGGGGAAAAGAGAGGGGGTGAGAGATGGGTTCTGGGTAACCTCTCCTCGACTCCATGGGGCCCCGCTGTGCGAAAATACTCAATGTTTTATTCAATATCCACAATCGCTATATTGAATATCAAAACGGCCGTGCACGGCATATACCTCCTTTTTAATTAGTGTATTTTACAAGTGAAAGGAAGGTTGTGTGTACAGTGACTCAACAAAACTTGTGAATACTGTAATAATATGTAAGCTGTTCTCCATATCTTGTAGCGGGTGTTGCATATGGGAGACGTATTTTAAATATTTTACTATGGCAACGAAGACGTTGGGAGTGTAACGTACTATGTACGTATTGTGTTTGTAGAACGTATTGTGAACAGTTTTGTTTTACTAGCCGTTTCAGTTCAGTTCTTAGAATAGAAAATAATATTTACTTAACATCATTGTTTATTTATTTAACAGCCATGTTTTTTTACATCACGAGTAATGGACCAATGAGGTTCAAGGATTGAGAGAAAAGAAGTAAAATTGTAATTGCAACTTATCAGCTGTTAAGACAAATTTAATTGATTACACAATCAATTGTGAGCAAGTTGTCGAGTGAGTGGTTGTTTCTTAGTCGATGAATCACAATCAGTGGTTATTTGAGAGGTTATAAACGAAAACATAACCTCTTTTGGAAGTTACTATATTAATGAAATGGCGACCATACAAAGTAGGTATTTTAAGCCAAGTATGAATGGAGATGATTGTAGGATGGGTGGCGCGATCTTGTAGTCTTGTGACTAAGGCCGACTTATTCCTTAGACACAGCTGTTAATTAATAACCCATACAGCTAATGGCAACTAAGGGACCTACAGTTTATAGTGGAATCCGAACCACATTTTTGCCTTGTTATATACGAATTGGTCAAACTTTCAGGATAGTACTGCGGATAGTACTCACTCGTGCGGACGTTAATCCACACCAGGGAGTATCGCATCCACAGAGCATGCCTATAAATATCCATAATTCGTCACCTCCTAGTAGCTGAATTACAGGTCGACGCCACCCGTCCCAGTTACCTAGCGCCTTTTAGTAAACGGTCGTATGTAAAAAGTACTACATTTGAAAGTTTTGCCAAAAATCCCCCGGACGTATAAAAAGTATGTAAAAGTACGCGTTCGTTTCGTAAACTACTATAGGATCATTTGTAGAATCGATATTGATATGTGAAAAGTTCTACTGGATGACTCACATTAGATATTTGAGTCTATAAGGCGTGAATATATTTTGTGTAGCATATGTAATCTTTGATATAACTCATAATTTTACATCTAAATGTCAAGTGATACCTGTTTTCCTTCTAAGCCACTCGTTTCAAACCTAAACCGTCCATTTTCAATAACTCCAGTAGGTTGGTTAAGATTATTCCCTTAATCCCTGGAGCTGTGAAGAGTCGTCAATAACAAACGCAAATACACAAATAACAACACGCCAAACAAAAACTTTGAAAAAATGATTATAATAATTCAATTAGGTTTTCTATGTACCGTAATTTTAAAAGCGAATGGCTGAGCAGTTTCCAGCCGCAACAGACGGTCGATGTGACTAAAACAGTTTTCAGACTTTCCCGTTAATTCACTAGCACTAGTGGAATGTGGTTAGGTTAGATTAGGGTTTTCTAATTCTATACTAAACTCTATACCAACCTAACCTAACCAAAATTTAATTCACTACCACTTCTATTGCTAATAATCTATTGCTAGAACTAGTGTTAGTGAATTAATGGAAAAGGTTCAGATTTTCCTTGGATGTACCAATGTTTGTTTCTTTTTTAGCGAATTTCCCACAGGACTCATGGCTAGACCTAGACCTGGAACCGATTTACTTGTGCGTTTTGAGGTCCCCAGAGGCCAAAACCACCATCTGTTCAAATTTATATACAGTATATATGTGTGTGTGTCCGTTAGCGTGATAACTTAGACAAAAATGATCCGATTTTGATGAAATTTGGTACAAACGTGTATACCTACGTTTATTTCATCAAGTTCGCGAACCAGCATGATCAGACTATGGGATCGGGGGTTTACGAGGGGTTTTATGAAGTAAAAATTGACTTTTCCCCATTTTGACCCTAAAAACATAAAATTTCATCATTTCTCTCCAAACCATTTTGTAGAGCTTAAAAAGAAATAATTTTGTATATTGAAGGGTTGTTGTATGTATGGTTACGGAGATAATTAGAACAATTGTAAATTTAAAATTCTCATGTCATTCTTATGGAGGATAAATAAACTGTTTGCTTGATTATGGATAAATTTTAACCAACATTGCAATAAAAAGAACATACCTCAATATCTTCCCTGTAGCAGAAAACCTAATTACTTACCAAAATTAATGTTATTTAATTATAAAATCATTCTGTAAATTTTTAGGGAATATTTTAGTAGAAATCCAGCCAGGTAAATGGAAATTCGATCTGCAGATTTGCTGTGGCGGGGGTATTTTTATAATAAAGTCTTTTTTCATTTCATTTCATTCAAAAGCCACCCAATAGGGCCCAACAGGGTCATTTGTCAGAACTATTTCAACACTGTATTTTATTAACACTAGAGAAATAAAGGAAAACGCTAAACTCGAACTGACCACACTACTGTGATGTCACAACATCGACGACACAACGATGACGTCACACTTACAACGTCACTTTACAGGTCTACCAACGTGTACTACACAAATAGCTGCGAGGGACGGGACAGGTTGTGATTGAGTGTATCCTTGATATCCGTACAACCGGTCACATAGCACCAGGGTGAATCATACTGTACTGTAAATAAACATGTGTAACAGTGTACGCTGTAACCAGCGTAAATAAGCGTAGCTTTGTTGTGGTAGGTGTAAAATGAGAAAACAGCAATAATTAATTGTGTGTTAAAATATTCCAAAATTACTCCAAAAGGCCTTTGATTGCTTTCATGAACCGTTCGAGCATCTTTCTGCCTCTCAACACCCACGCCGAACAACACATTCACAACACCAAAAACAATGCCAACAATAAAAAAAACATTGATACAACACATGTTCCGATACCTTAAAAACCATAGATAAACCCACGGATTACGGATAAAACATACTACCTTAGTTTTGGTTAGTCTATGCTTAAACCAAAGATTGACATACTTATTTGACGTAGATACACATGCTCCCACAAGACTACACATAGCGTGCTGAAACCGTACATAAAACATACTCCCTCAGAAGATTTCTCGTCCTTATGGATCAGCTGAAGACAATTTCGTTGTTGATTCCGCCCGGTGAACTGTAGGTAGATGTCGAGTTTTTTTACAGTTCAGCCAAATAAAAGGATCGAGTCATAAACAATAACTCGTAATAGTTATGCAACCAAATAGTAAAGCCCGCATAATGGAATTAACCATAAAATTATACAAACAAATCTTCATTGACACTACCGATCAGTGTTACCGGACATGAACTAGACATGAAAAACGAGCTTCAAAATTTACAAAGGGGTGAGAAGTCTACACACTCATCAGTAGCTGCGACAGATCGTTGTAGCATAGATTAAAAGAAGTAGACATAAGTAGATAGAAGTAGACAGTAAAGTGCATATACTCCTTTTATCTATGGTTGTAGGGAGCAACTAACTACGTTTTCAATTAAATGAGTGTTATTTGTCACTTTCGTTTATACATTACAAAGTATACATTAACTTATCGGTATCAATCAAACCTATTTCCCCATGTCTGGTAAACCATGATCTCAATCGTCGAATATGTGTCGAATATGTGTGTCGAAGAATTGGTCGTCAAGTCAGTCTACGTCTGTCCACTAGAGCATCAATACTGCTACTGCAATTATTATTACGCTTAAAATGGGGACGGGGTTAATCTTAACCTAAATATGAATATGTACGCAGAAAGCACTAAGAATTAATTTAGTCCAGTTTTTAACATTAAAAACGGGTTTTGTCGTCGACAAATTCATCTACTAACGATGCTTAATGTATTACCCTTTCTAAATCAGACAATTTAGCACCTCTAGTGGCTACCTATCACACTCATTTAAGTGTTTACATGACAAAACGTCTATGACATTTCATTGTTTCAAACACAAACAACGACCAACACCAAACAAAACCTAATGTACAATTGCTGTTCTTACAATTTATGAAGTTATCCACAAATCGTCCACAAGTTATCCGCAAAATATCACATCCGGCCCTGCCATTACATCACTTATAATTGTTGCTCTCTGTTACTGAATGAACATCGACGGATACATTGTGGAGTCATCCGACAGTTCCGGATGCAGCGGCTGGGCCGTCACGAACCAGAATAGCCGTGACGTTACGATACTGCGTCACGTGACGTCACAACCACTGACAATGTCAAGGTCTGTGTGAGTCACAACCGTGACGTAGCTTGTTGTGATTCCTGCACTCTGATTGTTATTGTGTTACGCAACGTTTCGAATGCAAACCTAGATGAAATTATCTTGTATACATACTCCTTTACAGATGTAAATTGTACTGTATAAGACGAATTAAGTTTTAGTTCTGTCTGGGTTATGGCCATAGATTTTGGTATACACATTTCTTTCTAATAATATAACAATTTTTTACGTTAAAATACAAAGTTTGCTGATCCATAAGCTGTACCATTAAATAATTGTCAAGTTTTTGTTTAATTCGATCAAGGCCCCAATAGCAAAACAGGCCATGCTGCAGGATCCATGACGTCACACTAGTGGATAGATTTGTTGATAGATTCACTGCAATATCCCATATGTTTTAGTCTAGTGGGTCCTGATTCGATACAAAAGAAACGAGTGTTTGCCTTTCTCCCATATGACATCAACTGAAATTTAGTGATTGTAAACATAACCTATTCAAAATTATGTAAACATTATGTTGGTTTAGTAGTTCGTTTTGATGAACTAAGTAGCTGTGATAATACTGAGCTTCTTTTCACCGCTGAAATATTGAAATATCGTGATGCGTTGTTGACACGTCGTGTATGTGTAAGTCCAGTGAAAAATGGCAAGTACTGAAATAGAACGTGCCCACGGGACATCTCTAAAAAAAGGGAAACTCTCCGAAAAAGACTTATTAGCCAAATTCCCAGACTCAGGACCATTGGATATTGAAAACTTCGCGAATTTCATGAAATCCTCAAAAGAGATATTCTACGAAAAATGGTCGCTGCCAAGTTCATTTTTCAAAAGACCCGCTTCTTTGGAGGAGTTCGTGAAATTAAAGCTGTTAGGCAAAGGATCGTTCGGGTTTGTCGCCTTAGCTAAGCACAAACCGTCAGAAAAACTGTACGCTTTGAAATGTGTGGATAAGGACGAAGTGATCAAACATCGGCAAGTGGAGAATCTCAAGACGGAACAAGGCTTGATGCAGTGTATAAACTACCCTTTCACCATATATTTGATTTACACGTTTAAGGACAATTGTTACATATACTTTGTTCTTCCCTTTGTCGAAGGAGGAGATCTTTACAGACACATGCAGGCCATCGGTCCAGGAAGCGAGGATCAGGCGAGATTCTACGCCTGCCAGATAATCCTAGCGTTGGAATATCTTCACCACTTGGACTTTGTCTACAGAGATTTGAAGCCAGAGAACATTTTGCTGGACCACACAGGGTATTTGAAACTAGCAGACTTTGGATTCACCAAACGTTTAAAGCGTCGTCTAAGAACCTACACTCTCTGCGGCACCCCTGAGTACATGGCTCCAGAAATAATCTTGAACAAAGGTTACGGGAAGTCAGTTGACTGGTGGGCTGCAGGATGTTTTATCTACGAAATGGTCGCAGGAGCAACGCCTTTCGTGGCGAGCGACGCTGGAAGAATCTATGAGAAAATAATTTACGGAAAGATTAAATTTCCTCAAACTTTCAGCCAGGGACTGAAAGACTTGGTGGGAAAGATGGTGCAAGCCGACCTGTCCAAAAGATTCGGGAACTTGAAAAACGGAGCCAACGATATTAAAGAGCACAAATGGTTTTTGGCGACGAACTGGTTGGCCGTGTTGAACAGAAAGTGTGAAGCACCGTATAGACCGAAGATTGGATCGGTTAAAGAAGATGGAACGACGCCTTGGAAACTACCAAAGGAAGGTAAAGTTGAGAAATATTCTAAGGAATTTGAAGATTTTTAAAATCCACAATTCATTCAGTTGTAAAAAAAACTCGGTTACTCAATAAGGCTGTAACTTCTACCTGAAGAATTATTATTAACTATGTGGCGAATGAATTATGAACAAACTTTGTATGATAACAAATACATTATTTATTTGTGAATCAGTTTCATTTATCCTCTTTGAAACAGCTCTATACAAACGTTGTACCACGTGACAACACCTCTTCGTGTAAATAACCATTATTCACACGAATTACTAAGCTCAATGTGCCATCTTATATATTTCAAATATTTGGTTTTTCTTTTCCGTCTTCGTTTGGCTCTTTTACCCGACCAATTTTCATGACTGAGGTCTCGAATTGAAGGTATGCACGCACAGATTTGCCATCAAACATCCACATATATTTATCTATAATCCCACCCGATGTATACATAAACGAAATTTGCCCCCCGTGTATTTCTTATAGGAACTACATTTGGTTTCTCTTTTCCGAGTTCGTTTAGCTCTTTTACCCGACCGATTTTCATGATTGAGGTCTCAAATTGAAGCATACACGCCACATGTTCACATCAAGCATCAAGCGTGTGAAAAATAATTGTTTCTAAAACCTAAAGACAAAATCCTCCATAGTTAAATTAAACCGAATATAAGTACAGTAACTGACTTTAAAGACATTCTGTGGTTCGCTCAAGCTACGGCTCTCACAGTAATCGATAATAGTACGTTTAAAAATAGAATTATAGCGGTAAAAAGTAAATCTTTGAGTGATAAAAAAACTCCCCACGGTTGTAAATTAAACACCATACATTAAATATTATATTTCCGTAATACAATTTAAGCCGACGACGACCTATAGGCCAATCAGTTCTTTAAGAAAATCGGTAAAAGATGGCACAGACTATGAATTAACACTCTGTCCCTCACCTAGTCATCTGTCTGTTTTCATGTAGTTTTTAAAAATTAATCCTGCTTAACTCCAATTTGAAAACAATCAAGTAAATTCCATTGTTTCCGAGAAATTCTCGTTCTTCCAGTTGCAGCAGGTGTGTCAAATGTCAAGAGACAATTCTGTCCTTAAAAATAAGACCAAGTATCTCCGTTAACAAATCCCTTTTGAACAAAAATATAAATACTGGCAAGAACCACAATTATTACTGCCAATGAAAACTAAACTCTCTCAAGCTTCTAACACACACCACCGTACAATTATCCCATATAAGTTTGGCGTTAGCTCGATGTCGATTGCACGACAGGGGAAATGCAAGGCGTGCAGCTCAGCTGTAAGTCAGTTAATCGGGCAATTATAAGATCAGCGTCCATCACCGACGGTCTAGATGTTTATTGGTCGTAAATCCAAGGGCCCTGAGGCCTCCACGCTAATATTTCTACAATTCAAAGGTCTCCGTCGTGCCCTGAACGATTGACAAATGTTCCAGGTCTGACAGATCAGATTGTGAGGAGTTGTTGATTTATTTCGCCAGTTGTTTCAGGAATGCCACGACCACGACCGTCCTGTAATATTTTTTTGATGGCCAGTACAAAGTAATTATTCAATTTTTGTAAAATGACACATTTGAACCCTTTTGGAATGTCAACTCTGATTAGCAAAATCTGTTTAATATTTCTTTGAGAGAGACGGTTTTGAAAATCATCCTCTGTAGCTTGCGAATTGCTAAGATAACCTTATTGTTCAGTCAGGAACCATTCAAAGCACAATTATCAACCAATCTCGAAATCTTGTCTGAACTGTAGTTTATCAGGTTATAAAAATACATAATTTCAAAAGCACAATGTGAAGAACAACATTTCACAAAGCACAATATTGGTTCCAAAATCAATAGCTGGAAAAGAGAGCGTAATTTGAGGATGTACATGATCTATAGTCAATGCTATTTTGTCATTGCTTCTCGTCTACTTGTGCAATATTGCTGAAGGATACGGTTCTACTACAGACTTAAAACCATCGTGCCTTAGCACAAAGTTCTTACTCCAACAAGATGTGTTTTCCATTCACTCATTCGCTCTCGAGAAAGATATAGTACTCGTATATCTCATCACTTAAGTGATGTTAGGAATGGACGAGGAACAAATCACTTAGATATAACACCATATGAGCTGTAACCTCAAATTTATCACTTAATGCTGCCAGTTATTTTCTACAAGCATATAACGAACGGAACTGCCTCTTAACATTGATCTGGAACAACTGAACATTGGCTACTGTAACATATTTCGTGGAGGTGTTGCAAATAATATCTGTCCAAGAAAGATGAAATTATACTAGCTAACCATCCTACGCTTGAAAATATAAACCGTGAGAACATAGTCCTCGTTACTAAAATACTTTTGACTTTCCGGTGTATCACCTTCCTAATTTTACTTGATGATATCCTATATTTATTATGTATTATATTATATCAAGTGCGTCTATGGGCCAGATTTATTTTCGTCCTAGGATTTTTAATTTTTTTTGTTATCATGCGGTATTTGGTCTTGTAAATCGATTGGAGTTGGTCACAATACGGGGGAAAATCCAGTTTCTGTCCTACATTTCTCGAAAGTGCCCATGTTATCATATAACCTAATTTAGATTACATAAAATACGACTTGTAAAATACTGTACCTATTCAATCAGTGGTAGTTTCCAAATGACTGTAATACTTTCTTTGTATTATTTGGTCAGTGGACACCATCAGAATGTTTATCCTTTGTACTGTGTTTAGGTTGTAATTAGCTTGATTTTAAGCACATGCTATGATTCTTTGTTTTGTTGACAACTAAGTCGTTATTTTGTAAACATTATGGCAACCCAAGACTGATGTTAAAATTTAAAAACTTTTAGTTACTTTTAAATTAAGTTATGTAGAGAATTGTTTTGTCTCAAACCTTCTAAACATTTGACGAAACGACCTTGGTAGGTTTGGTTAAAATATGTTCAGCCGTTATTAAGTGATAGGGTTAGAAAGTTAACGTTGAATCCGATCCCAAAGAGCTTCGCTCAATTAACTACAGTAGTTGGTTTTTCAAAACTTTTCCTATCTGAAGATATGAAAACTGAATTTCAGCACACAGCTGACGTTATACTTTTGTAAACATCCAAACTTACATAATACATTATTTCCAAAAGAAATTTTTAGTGGTGAATTTTATATTTTCAGCTATTCAAACAGCCAGGAGCACAAGAAATGCAACAGAACAAAGACCGGCCAGTTTACAAACTCCACAACCAGGATTTTGTATATATAAGAGATTGGTTGTTACTGAGAGGTTACATATTTACCGATCCTCATTTCAAATTGGACGAGAAATATGAGTGGTGTCGTCCATGGAACATAACGAAAGAACCTCAGCTGTTCGTTGGAGAGCCGACTCAACACGATGTTGTCCAAGGACGTTCTGGAAACTGCGGCCTTGAGACGGCCAAGTCTATCTTGGGGACTCGTCCATAACTTGTGAAGCAAGTGGTCCCTTCTGATAAGAGCTTTTATGAGAAATACGCAGGAATATTTCACTTTCGATTCTGGAGATTCGGAAGATGGTACGATGTAGTGATAGATGACCGCCTCCCAACTCTTAACGGGGCATTGCACTCCACTAAAGCACCAAACAATGTTTTCTGGCCAGCTCTGTTAGATAAGGCGTACCTTAAATTTCTGTACGGTGGTTACATAAACAACTATTATTTTATTTACGAAGTTTTGCAGGATTTCACTGGTGGAGTAGTAGAGCACATTGATCTTAGGTGTCTTCCCAAATCATTTGAAAATACTTTACTCAAGGCTTTCGCAAGACAATCGCTCATAGGTTGTGCGAGTTCTGCCAATGAAGTCAAAACTCCTCAAGGTCTAGTCAGAGATCATGCATACGCAATGACTGGTGCAAGATTTGTTAATGTTCCTGGGCGTGGAGAAGTTCTTTTGATTCGTCTCAGAAATCCTTGGGGAAGTTTTGAGTGGAATGGCGCATGGAGCGACGGATCAAAGGAGTGGGAATTACTCCCTAAAGCTCTCAAGGAAGAGTTAGCAGTGGTTAACCGCGAAGATGGAGAATTTGTGATGGAATTTTCAGATTTTGTTTCAAACTTCGCGTATGTTGATATTTGCCATTTGAGTCCAAACGTACATTTAAACGTGTTTGGACAGAACACAGAAGTCAGACAGTGGCACTTGGATATGGTCAAGGGCAGTTGGATAAAAGGTGTGACATCTGGAGGATTTGAATCCCTGCATGAGAATCCCCAAATATGGTTCACGTTAAGCGAAGCGGACGGTGACAACGACGGTAACTGCACCGTGCTAATTGCGTTGCTACAAAAAACAACTAGACTTAAGTTCTTAAAACTCGGGTTTAAGGTTTACCATATTTCTGACTTAAATCAACCCGCATTGGAGCAAGACTTTTTAAAAAACAACCAACCAGTTGGCTCAGTAGACCTAACCTACATACGTGAAGTAGTAGGTAGGTATGAGATTAGGCCAGGAACCAATTGCGTAATTCCTTTTACCAAAAAGGGAATAAGTGGAGATTTTTTTTTTGAGAATTTATACGGAAAAGAAACCTCTAATTATGTACTCAGATTCTAGTACTAAAGTAGGTCTTTCACCGGAAGATGTGCCACCCAGTGATGCACCAGTGTCACAAAGAACAACAGACACTATTAAAGACTTCAAAATGGACCAATCAAGTACAGATTATTTCCACAAGGTGTCTGGCCCTAACAAGGAAGTTGATTGGAAAGATTTGAAGAAAATTTTAGATTTCGGTTTGAAGAAGAGAGTTTCCCCAGCTCATAATAGTGACGGTTGGGGACATTTTCTTTTTGACGCTGCGACTTGTATATCCAACAAAGTCTTGGAACCAACTTTTTTAGGAAGTACTCTAGGAGAGACGACGGGTGGTTATTCATATGATCTTTGTAGAAGTATGGTGGCTCTACTGGACACAGACCTTTCAGGGAAGCTGGAGTATAATGAATTCCAAACTTTGTGGAATATGATTAAAACGTGGGAATCAATTTACGAATTGTACAGCGATAAGGCCACAGGATTTTTAAACTCGTCAAGTGTTCAAAGTGCTTTGGAAGCTCTTGATTTCAGTTTTAGTCACCAGATACTCAGTAGTTTAATACGAAAATACGCGACAAGGGACGGCTACATATCATTTGAAGATTTTATGCATTGTGCTATAAAAATAACGACTATGATAGATTTTTTCAAAACCAAAGATGAAAATACGTCTAAAAAAATACTTCTTACTTTTGAGGAGTTAATAGGAAAAGCACTTTATTCCTGATTTCACAAAAGTGCATACCTGTCCTGTAATGAAATACAAGCCGAGTTTAATTTAGTTTTTTCTTTTGCCTCGCCTACGAAACCTAACCCTCTTTAGAATAAATTTACAAAAAATAGACACCAGCAATTTAGGGCTACACTACTTCTAGCAGTAAATAAGGACCGAGCTTTGTATTAGAAAATAACCCCCCACCCCGTGAAAGTAATAATTTTATAAAATATTGACTGTCATATCAAAATATTAATCTTGAACCATTTAAATTGTTGGCGAACCTTTAAAGCTTTGAAATATTTGAAAAGGTAAGTTTTAACTATTGCTAATTAAACTAGGCTATGGATTAAGCCACAACGCTCTACCTAATGCTTCAATTTGTCTAATTGAAACAAAATTACAAGCATTTTTTTATAGAGTTAAAACTCATAATTGTAAGAAACTAAAAATAAGTATTTTTCGTCATACTGCAGCAAATACAGCCGTTTTAATGCATGCGTTGCGGGGCTAAGGTAGTATTTTTACTCTCTAGGGAGTAAAAATCAGCTGTTGTGAAAAGTTGTAAATTTTGATTGTGACAATCGTATCGATCGAAATTATTTACTGATTGATTCATTAGGGACGGTTTTAGCATAGACAAACAATTTTCTATGGTTTTAGCATATTGTCGTATATATACAATCGTAATAAACAATCATAATAAACAACCGTAATATGTAACATTAAAGTGTTATAGCTTAGTTGATTAGAATCACGAATACTAGAAAAATACTGGTATGGATCATAAACATAAACAAATGACGTTGTTGGCCCGAATCCTATACTAATAGCATTGAACATATGTTTTGGAAGTTCTATTTAAGCAATGTTAAATAATGTTTATGTTCGGGCCAAAAAAGTCATTTGTTTATGATCCATACCGATATTTTTCTAGTAATCGTGATTATAACTTGATGCAATATCACGATAAATATAGTTTACCACAGGGGCAAAAAGTGTCTTTTTAACCCTCGCTCATTTTCCAACTTCGGCTTTGCCTCGATCGAAAACTTGACCTCGGGTCAAAAAGAGTCACTTTATTTATTTATTCTGGGCCATGTAGCTCCTAAATGAATAAGTATATGAATAAAAGACAATAATAAGAGTAAATAAGTCTTAAAATTGCAAACACATTCTAATAACCCCATCAAATACATAGTTTTCTTATTTTAAAATATCTGGATATTTTGGAAATTGGTGGCAATTTTTGAAATAATGGAATCAATATTTTTTATGTTTAATGGGATTTTTAGAACGCTAATTCAATATTCACTTGCAACTACCAATTTTTTTTTTCAATTTCTTTATCCTCGAAGATCGTCTTAAGTGATAAGCAGGTGGCTCTTCAATATTTTCATGATTATTTGCTGCTGAATGTCCTTCAATGTTTTGTTGTCTAGCACATAGCACTTACTGGTGTCTTTGACATTGCGTAATCCCTAATTGATCTATCTCCTCTGGAGACTCCAATGGATGCTAAGGTAAGATTCGAGGAGAAAAGGGGCTGGATAGTGCAGTATCTTCTGAAGATGTGTTCATTGGGAAAACATCTGGAGAGCTATGCATACCTGTTTGCCTTGGTAGGTTCGGGGTTGCTTTAATTCTTGATATCTCTGAAAATACCTTGGTGTTTTTGATAACTTACTTCAACCTGTGTTTTTCTGAGCTGGTAAATATGTCTTTTTTTGTTTTGGTTGTCTAATAAGATGATCTAATGAAGTTTTCCCAAACGTTGTAAAACTGTACAGAATTTCCATTGCGTAGATCACATCCTCGTCGTTTTTGTTCCGTACTTTATGAACTAAATAACTAGGGTGGTCTGCCGTTACTCTTTAGACGCATAAATGAGCGAAGCATTATTTGAAGATTAATGGCTAAAGCAGCTAACAACCTACAATATGTTCCCTTTCAACAGATTCACCGTTTGTTTGCCCGATATTATTTAAGTTTTAAAGAATGACAAATTTATCTGATAGTTCATTTATTTAGTTAAGAATAAGAATTGATAAAAGCCTGACCATTTGCTTGTACTTTGTAAATGCGCATAGCGGGATGTACTCGTGCAATCAACATTTGTTCTACAATCGTCAGGTCAGTTAATTCGTTCGGGACACTTGACACATCCATATTATTTAACGCCGTGAATTTAGTTGCATATGAACGACAACGCGAACAAATCGGTGATTGGTTTGAAGCTGTTAGTTGTTGGCGATGACTGTTAGTGCAAATGTAAAATTTTAGTGCATCTAATTCATGTTGGAATTGATTAGCTAACTGCCTATCATTATCAGCTTCTTCCGCCACTGCTTCATCTGGTTCTTCTTGTTCACGACTCCACTCTTACAATATTTGCATTATTTGCGTGACGACCAATATTACGACGTGGCCTTTGAGGCATGCTCAAAACAAATATAGCAAAACTGTTACTTCCGTTGATAAACTGTTACATTCCAACTTTATCCTAGGATGAAAGTAAACATTGAAATGTAAACAAAACAGTTACAAGCAATTAACATATGTTTATCTTAATTAAATGAAACGAGATAAACCCATATGTCATAGACCCATAATTTATAATATAATTTTTCTTTCAACTTACATTAAAATAACAAGCGAAATTGCGTGACCCGTAAAATAAAATCCAGAAGGAAATTTGCAAACATTTTTTACCTAAACATTGTGCTTAGTATTCTTTAGCTGTTGGCCAAATTTCATATCAATTGGTCAAGCCATTACATTCTGATGCTCTTACAAAGAAGTTACAAAGTGAGGGAAAGTGAGCTTCGCTCAATTACAACCTTTGATTACCATACAACTCATAATAAATTGTATAAAACTAAAAATTAAGTACTGTTTTAATCATTTCTTTATCTCAGAATGTAAACCTAACCACAGCTGCAATATACCAACAAACCATAACAAAAAAACTAGTGGCTATCCAATGTCCTTTTGTGACAACTTGACTCTAGAAACCAAATTTGTATTTACGATATCTACAAACATTTCTACGTCTAAGGCTATGAATGACTTTATGATCAATACTCCTCCACAAAGCTATACAAACCCTAACTCTACTAGGTGTGTAGGAGCTCAATTATCAACATTCCCCATGTATGCCAGCTCTGAGTGATTTATCAGCTATTCTACCACACTCCAGGGGGCCTGCACAGAGAGCCTTCGTCTGTCTTCATCTGATGTCGGGGAAGTAGGACAACATTTGTTAACCTTCTAGCTCCAGTGGTAAGTCGACTTTCTGACAACCAAGTATTACTTACATGCTTCCCCTAGGTAAATTGAATTTCCGTTCCAATAATATGTCGGAACTTATATGTTACTCCTTCCAACAGCGATAGTAGCTGAGCAATAATCGCACAAATAAGCCTTTACGACAGCCACCTTGACCATACTACTGGGCCGATTGACACGCGAGTTGTACCAGAGAAAGATTATCAGTCCAATTTGTGCGGGATTTATTTGTATTTTGAGTATATTTATACTCATTGGGTCAAAAATGAAAATTCAACTTTCTAACAACTGTTAGAAATATATTTGCCTGTAGATGTGCAAAATCCTTTTATAAATTAAAATAGGGTCAAAATAAGGACAAAATAAAAATAAATCATTGGCCTTATGGGTTTCGATGTTGGTGATGAAATAACAACAAAATATAAACAGAAAATCAAACAAATGGAAGAAATTCCAATCAAAATTTTATTTACAGCGTGGGGTAAAAATAGAGAATTTGCACAATTTATGATTTTGGACAAGTTTTTAACTCCAAAATCTCTAGTATTTCTAATAAATTGATTCTTTAGTTTCACTTCAATATTTAGATTTTACCTTGCCGGATGATGAGGATTATTTTTGGCATTTTTGACGGATCATGAAAAACGCATTTCTGGTGTAAATTGAGACTAGACTTTGCGAATCATAATGTACGACCTTGGATCAGAATAAGTGTGTTCTCGTTGTACATTTATCGTTGTGTATTCGTGTACAGGATTATAGCTGAGTAAATCAAAAGAGGTGCTAGAGCTATTTAAGTTTTATGACGACTTATCATCATCGAGGATGACTCTATCTCAAGGATATGTTCCGTGTTCTGTCCAGAGACGGGATATATCACCAGCTGCAGCTCAGTGATGCAACAAACACAATGGAAATTATAGATTCAATGATGGGAACAAAGTCCATCCCATGGTGTGAGATCGATATGGAAGATGGCAAACTCCGGTAGAAAAGGAATCGTAATTGTAACTAAAAAAGAAACAGGTGTTAATATTTTAAGGAGAAATATGTAGTTGGATTTTGTCAAAGTGGAATATCAACAAAAAAATATTAGATGAGCAACTACATCAGAGCAACTTTACGTTAGCATGGCCATCGTTTTGGGCTTTGACATATTCACTACCTGTTGGTACAAGGATACACACAGAAGAGTATGACGACTGGTAGGAAACGTATTCAATAAATCAATCAGGTTAAGAAAACAGCTGATCATAGTAACAAAGTTCCTCGTCTAATCCAATTAACATTCATTTCTCACTCGTGTTTGGCTAAAATACGCACTCTGGTGTTTTAGTCTCGTAATTTAAGGATAAGGCGAAAGAAAGGACGAGTTTTGAATTGATGAGAGTGTAGCTTTGTTACTGACTAAGAATAGCCTGCCCTGTAGCCTGGTCAGGCCAAAAAACAATGATCAAGCACAGGTGGATATGCAGTTCAAGACCATCAAAATCTACGACACCCTTCTGATAAGAGAGTATTTCTTACCTGCTTCGGTATCTGTTTTCAGGCTTAAGCTCATGATAGGATATTTTAACAGTACGTAAAACACTTAATATTCTTTAATTATGTCACTTTTTTAGGCATTATGCATTTTCATAAGTAGCCGAACACTAAATCTATTTACAAAATTAAAGTTGTGTTTATTTTTTTAGCGTTACAAGCCTAGATGAAGCTACGTTCTGTAAAATATTTGCTCTAGTATTTGTAGATGATCAA